CCGCCCCATGTGCAGGGCCAGGCCCAGTATCTCCCGCTGCTCTGGGTCCCCGTCGTGTGATCGCAAGGAAAAAAGAAAAACCTACGCTGCTTTTGCTCGTGGTGTTGGGTCCTACCGCAAACCTGCTGCATCCCTGCCTACTGGGGCATGGCCTATCGCAAGCCTGCGTACCCCTAGGAGGGGGCCCTCGATTCTGGGGCCCGGGGTGGCCGCCCCCCTGCCCTGTTGGATAAACAGCAACTGTATTCTCAGGAGGGCCAAAGGCCAATACATATACAAGTGTGTGGTAAAGTGTAAGACACCCCTTATACAATGGGGATAAACCGAAAAGGGGCTATACACAACTAACACCCCCCCTCAAACTCATGGTGGGTCGAGAACACTGAGTTTGGAGAGAAGAAAACTATGCTGCGCTCGAGTCTGTGCCTTCGTGAAGAAGTCTGCCAACTATAACTCAGAGGGCAGATAGTGAAGAGCGAGAGTTTGATCCTGCACAGCATCACACACAAAGTGGGCATCCACACCGATGTGCTTGGTGAGCTCATGCTTCACCGGGTCACGCGCAATGCTGATAGCACCAGTACTGTCGGACAATAAAGGAGCCGATGTAGTAGCAGACACACCAAAATCCTCAAGTAGCCACCGTAACCAGATCACCTCAGCCGTCAGCATAGCCATGGCTCGCAACTCAGCCTCTGTACTCGAGCGAGAAACTGCAATATGTTTCTTTGTCTTCTAGGCAATAAGAGAGCCACCAAGAAAGACACAATAAGCAGATAGTGAGCGTCGATCAGAGGGATCACTAGCCCAGGTAACATCAGAGTAGGCCTGGAGCTCAAGAGAGCTGGAGCGGGGAAAGAAAAGGCACTGAGAGATCGTGCCACGAAGATATCGTAGAACACGGAGGAGATGACTATAGTGGACAGAGATGAGGGCTGAGACAAACTGACTCAGAATGTGGACAGGATAGGAGATGTCAGGACACGTAACAGCAAGATAGACAAGACTGCCAACAAGATGACGATAGCGAGTGGGATTAGGGAGAGGGTCACCATCAGAGGCACGAAGATGAACATTTAGCTCCATGGGAGTGACAACTGTGCGCTCATCACCGAGAGCAGCGCAAGCAAGAAGATCCTGAATATATTTTTCTTGGGAGATGTAGAAGCCATCAGGAGTTGAAGAGATCTCAATCCCAAGAAAATAGCAAAGTGGACCAAGATTAGTCATGAGAAACTGGTCGCGAAGACGAGCCTTAACAAAGGCAATGTAATCAGAGTCGTCACCAGTGATGATCATGTCATCAACATAGAGAAGGAGAAGAGTCCGACCACGAGGAGATGTGTGAACAAACAACGCTGGATCATGATTACTGGGCAAGAAACCAGCGGCAGTCACCACAGAGGCAAAGCGCTCAAACCAGGCGCGAAGGGCCTGTTTGAGACCATATAGGGAGCGGCGAAGTCTACAGACCATACCATTAGGAGCATAGTACCCCGGTGGTGGCTGCATATAAACCTCCTCACGCAACTCACCATTGAGAAAAGTGTTCTGAACATCAAGTTGAGAGATGGACCACTGACGAACAGAAGCCACAGCAAGAAGAGTGCGGACAGTGGTCATGTGGGCCACAGGAGCGAATGTCTCATCATAATCGCGCCCCTGCTCCTGCTGAAAACCACGGGCCACAAGACGAGCTTTGTAGCGCTCAAGAGAACCATCGGAGCGAGTCTTAATCTTGTAGACCCACTTGCAGGTGATGGGACAGACACCGGAAGGAAGGGGAACCAGATCCCATGTGCCATAGCGCTCAAGAGCAGCAAGCTCTTCGGCCATCGCAAGTTTCCATTCAGGTTGAGTCATGGCAGTCTGATAGGAAGTGGGCTCAGCAATAACAGAGAGACCGTACCGATCAGGGGAGTAGCGATCAGGTGGAGGGCGAGGCCGAGCACGGAGGTTGTGAACCGGGGGAGGCACGAGAGGTGCAGCAGAGGTGGAAGGCTCGTCAGAGGAGACATCCTCAGTACGAGGTCGACGAGTATAGTGGAGAGGAAACGGGGAGAGAGGACGACGGACTGGAGATGATGGTGGAGAGGTGCAGGAGGAGGAGGGAGAAGACGGGGTCGGTGGTGAATGAGAAGGAATGAGAGGTGCCAGAGGAAGAGGTGACACAGGAGGCACGTAGCGGGGCGTATCGGGAAGAAGAAGGAAGGAAAGGTCGTCGACAGAGAAACTCGAGGAAGAAGAACGTGGGTAGTAAGAGCGAGACTCGTCAAAGGTCACATCACGCGAGATGCGCAAGCGACGACCCACAGGATCCCAACATCGATAGCCCTTGTGCTCATCACTGTAGCCAAGGAAAACACACTCAACCGACCAAGCAGTCAGTTTGGTGCGTTCTCGGGGGGCAAGAAGAACATAGCACACACATCCAAACATACGAAGAGCTGAGTAGTCAGGAGAGCGACCGGTGAGACACTCCATAGAAATACCACCCTGAAGAGCAGTCGATGGCTGAATGCTGATGAGATAGGTGGATGCGGAAACAGCCTCAGCCCAAAAATGGGGTGGAAGGGAAGCAACAATCATGAGCGCACGAGCAGTCTCAAGCAAATGACGATGCTTGCGTTCGGCAACGCCATTCTGAGCATGAGCCCCAGAACAAGGCAAATAAGCTATACATATGTATGCATTCAAAAAACAATAACAACAAAAAGTGGGCGAAATTTTACCTTGTGGGCATTTCATCGAACACCTTGTGCGCATCGGCCGCCGACTCAACAAGTGAGCTCGCCGGTGCTTCGGTCGCCTCCACGTCCGTCGCATGCCCTGCAAGCTTCTTCTTCTGCCGCCTAGAGGAGCCGTCCGCCGCCTTGTTCTTCTTCAGGGACACCTTACCCTTCTTCGCGGGCGCCACATTTAGGAGCTTCGAGAGGGGGGCACGTGGCTTCACGGCGGGTACCGACGCGACGCCACCCGCCGCCGAGGTCGTCCGTGGCGACATGAAAAGGCCATGCGCGATGCCGGTGCGGTGGCGAAACTGAAGCTCCCCGCGTTAGGGTTTGTGGCGGCGGCGACGGAGGGGTCGCAGGTGTAGGAAGGGGTGAGGGGGATGTCGGCGCGTCCGTCCATCGGGCGAACTTGCCGGCGGCGGCGCGGGCGGGGCGAAAGTGTTGCGGCGGAGAGGGTGCGGCGCGAGCGCTCGAGTGTGCAGTGCGCGGGAGCGGACGCAGCAAATAAACGACACGCGCTGGCGTTTCGGCAGCCACGCTGAACTAGTTTTACCGTGCGCACGATTTTTGTGCCTCCGCTGAAGCGTCCAGAGCGGTAGCGCGCGCAAAATTTTCCAACGCGGCGCTTATATAGCGCAGCTGTCGGAGATGCTCTAACCAAGCCCGACAAAAGCCCATCTCTCCGTCACACATCCCCCACGCAAGCAAATCTTGTTCTGCTTCGGCTCCTCCTCCTGCGGTCTCGCCGCCGGCCTCCCCACACAGATGGTCAGAGCCGCTCCCTTATGCCGTTCCTCGGGCTCGTGTCTTCCTCATGGTGGAGGCATCCGACTCACTGGACGATGCATCGAACGCAGCCATCCCTGTCGCCGCCCCAGTTCGTGCGAGATCCAGCAGCCGCTCCCTCATGTTGTTCCTCGGCGGCCCCGGGTCCTCCTGGTGGCGGCGGCATCGGACGCGGCGGACGAGGCCATCCCCGTCACTGCCCCAGTTCGTGCGGGGTCCGAGGCGGGCAAGCATATCAGCTACGGCAAGGATGGAGGCAAGTTTCTATAAGATTGAATAGAATATATATGCACGATTTGGAATGGCCGACGTTGTAGGATAAATTAGTACTGCCTCCTATATTTTTTAGGCTCCCTTCTATATCTTTCGTTTACAATTACATGCAGTCTGAAACTCTGAATTTAATACAGATGCATCAAGCCTTCTTGGGGGAGAAGGGATCACGGTTCATTGCTGATAATGTGTACCTCGCTCCATTTCAAATTACCTGACACCATTTTCTAGGTTAATAAAGCATTGTTGGGGGAGAAGGGATCATGGTTGGCCATGCTGATCTTTTAGGGGGAGAAGGGATCATGGTTGGTCCATTGCTGATAGCAAAGCATTGTCTATCTTTTTGTTTGCAAGTGCACAACTTTAGTTCTTTAATTTTCTATGTTAAACTAAAGTAAATGTCATTTTAATAAGACATTCAGTTCTTCGAATTATATAGGATGGTGGAACTGGATGCAAACTTATGTGTTTTGCTGATAAAAGATGCAAAATGCAAAATGCAAGCAATCGAAACTAGCAAAGCACAATATTACTGTTGGAAACAAGGTAAGTTTCTGAAGCTACTTCCATTTTTCGTATGCAACAAAGCATGACATGGAAGCGTTCCTATTTGATAGCTCGCTTTGTCATTTCTCATTTGTAATATTTGCACCATGCCAGTGCCAAATGCTTACACTTCTCAACCTTTGTAGCTACATGTGAGCCCCCCACTAATTTTTTGTCAGTTGCTTAGTTAGGTACATTCACCACTCATGTTTTTTTATTACAGTTTCTTAGCATACATGTTATGCTTACCAATAGGTTCTTGGTACAGCTATCTTCGAACATTGCGTAGCTTACGAAATGACAAACTAAACTTTATCAGCATGACAGACAAGTTGGAAAACTTTATGATGCTATGACCAATTCATTTTGAGCATACATATATAGTACTTCTTAATTCCGGGGCATCAAAATGCAATATATTGCACTTACCTATGTTATTTTACATATGCTCATTTTCTATTCATGTTCATATAACCAAATCTCATCAAAATATTTTGCAAGCAATTCCCGCAGCAACGCGCAGGGTATCATCTAATTAATTTGGAGAGGAGAGAGTGGAAGAAACTGCACGATCTTGTCTTATTGCTACCCAACTACCAGCATTCATTTTAACACATCACAGACCTCTCGCACGTCCAAACCACATCACAATATTCTCGGAGATCATGCCTTGCCTTTCTTCTTAAACGAAGAAGCCTTATTTCGCATTGGGGTCCTCTGGAGCTGTTTATTGCCGTCTAGCATGTCAACAACATCCCCCATGGTGGGCCTGTCTATCCGCTCCTTTGCTGCGCACTGCACTCCGATCTTCATGCATCTTTTTATTTCTTTTAGCTCGGGCTCGTCATGCAATGAAGGAGCTAACAAGTCCTCCACATCATCTAGTCCTTCCTGTGCATACTGAACCTGTGGAAAATAATGTTTTTGACAAGGTTGTTTGTTTGTTATTGGCTAATCGGCTGAAAAATGCATGCCAGCGTCCAGAAAAGGTTCAAAATCGTACCCAATCAGTTGAATCTTGTAGAAGTCCCGACATGCTAATGGTCTTGACGAGGATAATGCCAAAGCTGTACACATCATATTTAAATGAAAAAATACCATCTGCAATATATTCCGGAGGAAAATAGCCCCTGAAATAGAAACAAGGATCTCAGGAATATGGAAATGAAGGAAAATAAAGTACTACTCCCTCCTTAATTAACTTAATATAAGACGTTTTTTGACACTGCAGAACGTCTTATATTTAGTTACGGAGGGGGTAGCTACGTATGACTGCAGCCCTTACATTGTTCCCACCAACTCTCGTGTCACTCCCTCACCACCTAATTCGTCATCTTGATTCAGTATCTTAGACAGCCCAAAGTCACAGATCTTAGGGTTCATGTTGGAATCCAAGAGGATATTGTCTGGCTTCAGATCCAAATGGACAGTGCCTTTGGTGTGGATGTGAGCTACGCCCTGTGCAATCCCTCGAATGATTCGAAATGTGGAGGTCCAATCCAGCTGCCATGAGGACCCTGCGAAAGCGCAAACCGACAACAAATTAAATTAGATTTTTTTTCGTACGAAGGTAATTAACTGTGACCAATATATACTACTCCAGTATAAATTTCAATGGAAAATTAACATGCCATGGATAATGTTGGACAAGCTTCCGTTGGCCATGTACTCCTCCACCACGAACATATGATGTGTTTCAGCAGGCACACATTTGTCTTCCCATCGCATGAACTCAATCTTCATTTCATGGCAATACCCCAGAAACCTAACTACATTCTCATGCTCACCGATCACCGAGAAAACTTCAGCATAACGCGCTAAGCCATCATCTTGGCCACGACCTGCAATGAACATCTTGATGGCAACCTCTGCTCCATTGGTTAATACACCCTGAAAAACCAGCACACATATTGCGTACAAATACAATTTAGTTACTTAAATTGTGTTTGATTCCAAAAATATACATATACTTTTGTCTATTTTTAACAATCGTTTTGAAATGTTTTTTTATAGCTTACCACATATGCCATGTGGTAACAATCGTTGATAAGTCTACCTAGGCTTACTAATTAATGATTAGTTGTGTTGTTTTACGTAAATTATGTACCAGAAGAAAAGACAAACCTAGTACATGCCATTCAAAAAAGTACATGGAAGGAGTGTACCTTGTAAACAGTAACAAAACCACCTCTTCCAATCACATGGTCATTTGACAAGTCTTTTGTAGACGCCTTCAGTTCAGATAAACTGAAATTCTTGAAGCCTGCCATGAAACAACAATGTGCATACAGAAAAGAGAATGTTATTAATCTCCCTAGAAGGTAGCTAGATATAGGAGGTATGATCTTACGTGATATGTTATACTCTAAGCTTCCTGCTGGTAAACCTTCTTGCTCATCACGAACTTCAGATCTGCCATGATGATACGATTGCCTTTTTATTCAGAATAAATGCAAAGGATTTTGGTCTTTATGTCACGTTATGGTATATGGACGACTAAACAAACTGAACAATAACATTTATACAATTGATTTTTACTCTGTAATGGTATCTGTGAACAGTTTTGATGAGTCGTCAGTGACATATCCAGTTAATCCTCCAAGATAACCCCGCAAAAAAAGAGTTAATCCTCCAAGATAGGAACGCACTGCTAAATTCTGACCTAGTATCATTGGTTGAGTAACTGGCATGCGCGTCCTCCACTCCAGTAGCATCCTGAAGTAGACAAGTAACTCGATTATGGTATATATAAACTGCAGCTTTTATCAAGTACTAATTCATTTCAACAATACCTCATCAACCCAAATTTCTGTGTCCTGCCGCACCAAATGGCTGCCAACCACACTGATTTCTTGCTCCCCTTTCATCGACTGCACTTTCAAAAGTTTCTGTATCCAAGAAAAAAAATATTGATGTGTTAAATGATGAACGAAAGACATCCATATGCTGAAACTGAATCTAGACAACTCCTGAATTTAACGTACATTGATCATTCAAACCAATTAATTGTTCCCCAGATTGATGAAAACTAGTGTTTCATGTGTGAGAAAGTTAAGCATGAATAACTCCTTATTATATAGCATGTATTGGCTCTGTTCCAAAATATAAGGCATATTCCGAGCATTGAAATACATTCTTTGATGGTTAATTAGTCTAATAACATGTTCTTTCTATTTGAATGTTCTTTCCATGATTGCAATTTTGCAACCATTCACAATATATGACAAGAGAAATTTACGGTCAAACCTCAAATGTGGCCAGTCGAAATATGCCTTATACTTTGAAAAGGAGGGAGTGCCCTTAGCAGAATTATTTTCCATGAACCCTTGCTCTCCCACATCTTATCACTAATCAGTGAAGTGTACCTGTAGTCATCATCCTATAATCCTACTATAGGACCAGGGGTCAAATGATGCATCACGATAACACACATCGTCGGCCGTATTCATCCGACCACATAACACACTCATATCATACGCCTATTAAGACTGATGGATGTAATAAACAATTAATATAGAAATCCTATTAGGGAAGTAGAGAGATATGTTTGTACTTTATTTTAGAAAATAGTGTATGTATTTTATTTAGATAATAAGAAGTTTATATATGCGTTATGAAAGTATGCACAGGTTGGTAATTATGGCGGCTACTCTATCTCATGTCTCAAAGACTCAAAGTGTGGTGGACAATGTACAAAGATGTGTAATACATATACAGGTTGGCCACTTTGTCTAACTTTAAAAAGGTTTGAACTGGAGCTGAATTCAACATGACGAAATAATATGATTTCATAAAATACAAATCATGTACTCCCTCCGTAAAGAAATATAGTGATCTAAACGCTCATATATTTCTTTACGGAGGGAGTATATATCATGTTTCCTAGATCCCACACATCTATATGTAATATGTCTATGGTTATGCACCGGACATATCAACTCCATTTTGAATTTTGGGGGATGGATAGGAATGAAAGATCGAAATTTAGTTCCACAGAGTTTTTTTGCATGCTGAGATCGCTAACCCAAATGTGTATTCAATGACTGTAGAAAGTTTGAACTGTGTCTTTTCCCGTGCGCACATCTATCCCGTTTATTAGTGAGGGGTGAATATTAGGTGATGCCTGTACATGCTCCCATGGTCCTAATTTTCGAAAACAAGCTTAAATATTTCAGAAAATTCCGAAAAATGTGAATGTTCACAAGGCTTGCGTCTAAAACCCTATAAAATTGAATAAGAATTCAAAATACATATAGGGAAGCAAAAATGACAATTCTAGTTCGAATAGTGTCAAAAAGACAACACCTCATTCCAAACAAACATAGAGAAGCAACAAAGATAAATCCAAATGTGGGCATAGTCGTTGATGGTTACATTGCATCACAAGGGCAAGCAATCGAGGAGATGTGATATCACAGTAATTGTAAAATGGAAATGAGCATGCACGGAAGTATATAGAGACATGCATGTATCATAGTAATTCTACAATGGAAATTCAATCAACCATCAAAGAGTCAAGTGTGAAAATGGAACACAAAAGCTCTTCTATTGTTCCTATGACTGAAAGAAAGTGCTCTTACTTATTTCTCGAAGGAAAATTGTACACAAAAAGGTCAATATACAATACACTTTAGAAAATATGCTCACCGGAATACAAATATGTTTATCAAGACGTTCGTTCGGCTGGTATCATTTCTATACATATATTTTAATTGCATATCAATGTTAATAGGAAGACAAATTAAACAAAAAAGAAGCTGACAATAGGGCCAAATAACTGATAGGTAAAAAGAAATTTGCTGGATAAAAATTCAACCGAGCTCATATGGGACCTTTGATGTGAAGAAAAGAAAAAAAGCAAGTCGGTTCATGTAGCTCCCGCTTGCGCATGCTGTGGGAAAGGGTCCAATCACTTTGAGTCTTTTGTACGAGACATTTCCTTATATTTCTGCAAGATGCAGTTTTCAGGACTCGAACACCGTGACCATATGGTCACAAGGCAACAACTTTATCATTGCGCTAATGCTCCGCTTCTATGTAAAGAAAAAAGAGACATGGAAAAGATGTGGGAGTAAACTTAGAGTATCTACAGCCGCGGACATCAAATCCGGGCCCTCAAACACCCACTGACGCGCCGAAGCGCGTCTGCGGGCACTGACCGGTTAGACCTAAATATTCGTCCGCTGCATCCAAGTACCTCAAACTTGATCCCTCAAATCTATACAAACCATGCAAAATAAAAACTTACGTACTATGTAGATATCGTATCAACCTAGATTACTCATCGTCGGAGATGTACACGATCTGTGTGCTGGGCTCCAGGTAGATAGGCGCTTGCGGCAACTCCGGCTCTTCATCGAACTCATTAGAGGCAAAAAAATAATCAATCTCTGCCCTTTACTGGCGGATGAAGCGTTGGTTGGCCTCCACCGCGGCCTCATATTGGATGGACTCTAGGATGGCTGTCTGTTCCAGCCATCTCCTCCGCTTGGGCTGCCTCGAACTCCGCCATGGTGAAGCCCGCAGCTGGATCCGCCACCCCCTATGGCTCCATTGCGTCCTTCTCCGCCTCCTCTAGATCCAACCCCTCCATGGGCTGGGGTCCTTTGCCTTCTGCTGCTGCTCGCCCTCCCACTCCTCCTCCTGCTCCTCGTCCTCCTCCTCCTGCTCCTCGTCCTCCTCCGCCTTTGGTTCCAGCGAATCTGGAGGGAGGTCCGCTGCGATCCAGGTGGCGCATCTATCCCGGATCCTCTCGAGCAGTTGGAAATGCCGCTTTGGTGTCAACATAGCGTAGGTGAACACCCTCTGCCGGGCCATGGACGTAGCAAACGGTGAGCGGGGAGGGAGGGAAGTGGATGCTGCTCGTGCTGGCGGCACGAAGAGAGAGGAAATGGTTGTGACTAGGGCCGAGGCTCACAGTCCGGCTTAAATAGCCGGACTTCGGCCTTCGGGCGACGAGCCGGAGTGGCGCCATGCAACGTTCAACCCCCTCCCCCCGCGCAGGAGGAGAAGCCCCCGTTGGGTGGCGGATGTTCCCATGCCGCCCCGTATCTCCCTCGGATTTGTGCTGGATATAAGGGTGCCGGTCAGCCCGGACATTTGAGGCCGGTTTGAGGCAGACAGGTGGATCGGTTTTTTTTAACCTGCGAGTTAACGGGCCGTCCGCCATGGCGTTTGAGACAAGTTTGATGCACCCGGCTCCGACTGTAGATGCTCGTACTAGACATTAGTTCTACTGTTGTGCTACGCTAGAGATTGCAATATACCATTGCACTGCACAGATTGAACTAATACGGAAAAATTCAGGTAATTAATTCTGTTTACTGTTGGTAATAACCTGATCCGATAACTAATACCCCACAATAGTTTAAAAGGGAAAAATTCTGCAACCTTTGTAGGCTGCAAAGTTGTGAGAATCTATGCGGAAGCAGCGAATACAGGAATATAAATTTCGCGGGCCACTCGGCTAGTTATAATTTATTAAAACAATAAATATAGTTTAGCATGCCTGTAATTGTGCATACGAGTTTGGAGCGATAACAAAGTGATACCTTTGGCATCGCTGCCGGATTTGTAATATATGCTCTGGTGTACATGACGGTTTGCTGGACGCCGTTGCTGAAGTTTGCAATATGCATATGCTCCATGATCTCGTCCTTGACCTCACGCAGCTGTTTGGATACGTTCCCGGCCCTGAGGAAAAGGCAAACGATGTTCTTGGCCTGGCAGGCCTTGACGAGCTTGAGGGCACGACGGAAGGTCTCTTCGAGCTCGTTGAGTGCGTCGATCATGGGTTTCGTGCTGGAGACATCCGTATCGTGAAGACACTGGACGATAGCACGGAGCCTTTCCACACGCGTTGCGATCTTCTTGCAGTCGTCCTTATTCTGGTGAACCGTCTCGACCAGCTCCTGTATCTGGAGCGCGATGTTGACAACCCCCGTCACGCTGGCCACTAGATCCATCCTGTATGTTTTACAGGCGGAACCAATGAGGAATCCACAGGAAAAAATTAAACAGATCACCCATGGAATAACTATTAAACAGACAACGCATGGAATAACTAAGCAGATAAATGATGAACTAGAGAGAGAAAAGGCTTTCTGATTCTCTAGCTTTCCCATAACAATCAGGTTGAGCAGTCAATTAAGCAAGCACACCAACCTGCTTCTAGCTTCTTCTTGGCTTCTCCTCTGCTTCTCCCGTCCGGCCTCTTCCTTCCTCCCCGGAACGACCAAGCGGGCTCCTTATTGGCAGCAAGCTAGTCTTGCCTGCTTCATTAATCATTAAGCAACTTGGTTGTATTCTTACTGAGAGTACTTGAGCAGTAGCTGGACAAGACTAGCTTAACGCAGTATTATCTATGCTCCAATAATTGAGTAGTAGCTTATTTGTGGAAGATTGACGAGCAAAAGGACAGCCTATCTACGAGTAATTTGTAAAGAAATGGACCAGCTACTGCTCAAGTCCTCTCAGTAAGAATACAACCAAGTCTTTTATTTTTGCTATGAACAGACAGGCTGGATCAAGCTAAGCTCCGCCAAAAAATAAACACGGTGTCAGGCTTTCCATTTTTTTTTTACTTCTGACTGGTGGACGCGGTCCGGTCCGGTCCGGGCTTTGACCGAGCCAGCCTTTGGACCGGCCGCGGCCGGTCCGGTCCGGACCGGACCGAGGTGGCCAGCGATCCATTTTTCCAGGACCGGACCGAGAGGAGCAAAGCTCGGTCAGCCCGACTGGACCGAACGGGACCGATGGCTGGGACTCTGTTTAACAGCCTGGGAGTGCTTTGTTGGCCACTAGTATGTCATAACTACATTTGGACAGCATTTTATTTGTATTTTGGACATCAAAACAAATGATTTTGAGAGGAACAATATCACAAAAATCACATGCACAAACCTTGTGAAAATTATTTTCAGCTTGTTAGATACTCCTGGAGTACATAATTATTTTCTGCTTGTTACATACTCCTGGAATACATAATTCTGCTTGTATTTAGGGAGTTCACATTTAGTCTGAATTTTATATGGGTACATAATTCTACTTGTATTTAGAGAGTTCACTCACAAAATTTCATACATGGCTACTTGATTTAATATTTTGGGTATCCTTTACAGGTAGAGACATCAGACATGTGATATGTGGATTCAGAAAAAGAGAGATCCCAACTTTGCAGTGCCCCCCGTATTACTATCAGGTCAAGCAACACCTAGTGCCCATATGCTACAGCTCAATCCTCTCATGCATAATTCACAGGCATGTACCATCCGCAGCAGCCTCCCTCAATCGTAAGCCCACATCCCATGGTACAAGTTACAGAAAGATTACCTCTTCCTCTTCGTGGCGCTCGGTGAGGAACCAGGGAAGGACGGACCGACGGCGTGCTGGCCTTGCTGCCTCCCCACGGCGTGCTGGCCCTGCTTCCTCCCCACGGCGTGCTGGCCTTGCTGCCTCCCCACGGCGTGCTGGCCCTGCTTCCTCCCCGATGTACACGTGCTCCTCCAGCTCGGACTCGGACGAGATGGCGCCGTCGGTGAAGGGAGAGGCCGCGGGCAACGGCGCCGTCGCCTTAGGGTTAGGGTTAGGGATCGAACAGAGGAGGAGGCGCTGCCGAATCGAGCGAGGAGGGGAATGAAACGAGGGAAGGGGGGTTGCTCGGCTCGGGGGCTTGGGGCCTCGATGTGTTACACAGTTGATGGGCTTTGGGCCATCGGTCCGCTCGGTCGGCCCGGTTAAAGACCGGACTGGACCGAATTTTTTTCGGTCTCTTTTGCTGGGCTCGGACCGGCTTATTTTCCTATCGGGCCTGGACCGTACGGGCCGGTCCTAAACGGGCCACGAGCGGGCCGCAAAGCCCGCTCGTGCCGTCCAGGCTGACTGCGAGTAATGGGATCACATCTCGGTGGAAGATAAAAGAAAGGAAGAGTGTCTCGGTGAGATGAGATAGCGTGGGGAACTGTTGATGAATTGTTTCTGTTTTGTTTGCTAGTGAAGCCAAGCAAGATGTACGCGTTTACCAACACATATGTCGCCAAAATGTGGTGTGAAGAAGAAACAGTCAATCCTCCAGCACCGGCACCGGAACGGGTGGCGCTGACCCTGAAAGGGTGGAGGCCTCTGCTGCGGGGCGGAAAGACGGTGGGCGCCGGACCGACCGTTGGGTTGACAGGCCGCCCGTGCTAGCGGTACCCGTGAAGCACGTCGGCTTTCTTGGGTATCTCCAACCGTTGTAAAATAGGTGTTGATAAATTTGTCACCTAGGACATAGTAATGATATTGCACATAATATTCCCTCAAAAAAATGATATTGCACATAATAAATGTGGAGAGAAAGCAAATTTGTATGTAGATTAACCAACAACCTTTGAACAAGCTCTAAGGTGAAATAGAGAGCAATCACATTTATTTTTTCATCATCTAGTGGATAGCTTACATACAACATATTGGAGTATTTGTATGATAGCTTGTTAGTTGATGACATAGATATTTTACCAACATAGTTAACATATAACATGTTGGAGATGCCTTTAGCCGGTATGATGCACTCGGGAATAACAAACGTGATGATGTGGCAGAGAATTAAATAAGAGAGAGGGTTAGAGTAACATAGGTAGATACTGCAACATAATAAATGCTACGAAAATGCTAGACCAACATACGGCTGTTACGTGACCTACGTAAACTTCCATTCCATCTAACTAAACACTCCCCCGATTCTTAGGGTGGGCCCCAGCCTTCACTAATGTCCAATCAAAGAGAGCCAAATCACCCCATACGTGAGGTACGTAAAAACCTTTTTGTAGATGTAGCATTGTTGTAAATACTATACTACTTTGTGTTAGGGGTCATAAATAAGGTCGTCTATGATACTATGCACTATGAAATTAATATCATACACTAGTATCATATGCATGATACTAGTATATGATACTCCCCATTGTGAGAGGGTGTTTGGATACCTTTTAGTCCCATGACTAAAAATAGTGGGACTAAATCTTGCTAGTCTCACCCATGCTTGGATCCAAATACTAAAGGGACTAAAATCAAGTTAATGAGCATTTATTATCCTTCAAACCCTCCAATTCAGAACTCGTCTGTGTTAAAGAAGGGGAGTTAAATGAGGAAAGATAGGACTAAAATTTTTTAGTCTTAATACTAGTTTTAGCCCCTCTTTAGTCAGGGGTGCTTGGAACTTTAGCCTCTTAAAGAGACTATTTTTAGTTAGACTAAAATAAGTCCCTTGGATCCAAGCACCCTCTGAGTAGCCTTAAGCAGGCACTTCCATATCGAGTTAATTAAGATTTTGGTTCACAAACTTGCATTTGATGTATATATTCATACGTAAACTTGAAAAATGACATAAATCAGTCCAATAACTCGTGTTTCAGATACATTTAACTACATTCATGTTAATTGCCATTAATTCTCTATTAGACTTTGCATGCCAGCTAGCCCACACTTCACACATGTGTGTGGGTTCCACCTGTCAGGCAGGATTTGAACTAGTCACTAGTAGAAAAGGGGCCAATGGTCCATGCCGGTCCAGCCCATTAGTCTCGGTTCAACCCAGAACCGGGACCAATGGGGGCATTGGACCCGGTTCGTGAGCCCTGGGGGCCGGCCGGGCCACGTGGGCCATTGGTCCCGGTTCGTCTGGACCTTTTAGTCCCGGTTGGTGGGATGAACCGGGACCAATGGTCCTCGCTCCTGGCCCACCATCATTGGTCCCGGTTGGTGGGACGAACCGGAACAAAGGGCTACCCTTTAGTCCCGGTTCATGCCACCAACCGAGACTAAAGGGTTTGTCCTCGTTGTGGTCAGAGTTTAGTCCCACCTCGCCAACCGAAGGGGAATCAGACCGGTTTATAAGCCCCTTCCTCTCTGCCTTGTTGAGCTCCTCTCAAAATGAAAATAGATGCCTTTAAAAAGGGAATTTAACCTAAATTCATACTGAATTTCTCTGAAGTTAGTAGAAATTTATTATGAATTTAGGTTGAATTTTCTCTATAAGCGCATCTATGCTCATTTCTGAGTAGTTTTTTTTCTATATTTATTTTTTTTCTTTTTATTTCTTAGTTGTAATAAGTCATTAAAAAATAAGCATCTATGCTCATTTTTTAGTAAAGTTAATCACAACTATTTTTTCTTATATTTATTTCTGAATTGTAATAAGTCATTAAAAATGAGCATCTATGCTCATTTTTTTAGTAAGTTAATCACAACTATTTTTGCTTCTATTTATTTCTGAGTAGTTTTTTATATAGTTTTTTTTCTTTTCTGCTATATTTATTTTTTTCTTTTTATTTCTGAGTTTTAATAAGTCACTAAAAATAAGCATCTATCCTCATTTTTTTAGTAAAGTTAATCACAGCTATTTTTGCTTCTATTTATTTCTAAGTAGTTTTTTATATAGTTTTTTTCTTTTCTGCTATATTTATTTTTTTCTTTTTATTTCTGAGTTGTACTAAGTCATTAAAAATAAGCATCTATGCTCATTTTTTCAGTAAAGTTAATCACAACTATTAAAAATAAGTCATTAAAAATAAAAAAGAGGCACAATGCTTGTTAATTTGCTTCAAACCTTTCGGAATAGTGTCAACTGCACTGCACATAGCTCTGTGCAGTCTACCCTATTCCTCAAGGCTTGAAGCTAACCAACGTGCAGGTGAGCATTGAGCCTCTTCTTCATCGTCTCTCCACTCAGGGCTTATAAACAGCCGCGAGTGCCTCTCGCTTGGCGAGGTGGGACTAAAAAAACAGCTGCAGAAAGAATCAACTAAAAAACAGCAGCAGAAAATAAAAAATTAGATGGGTCCATTGGTACCGGTTGGTGGCGCCAACCGGTACCAATGCCACTCTTTGGTACCGGTTGGTGCCACCAACCGGTATCAATGCCCCCCTTTTGTCCCCGTTGGAGCCACCAACCGGGACCAAATGTCTTTGTTTCCCGCCCTTTGGGCTG